TCTTTTTCTCTCAGTCTTCACGGTCTCGTTCTTCTGATCGGTATATCATCGCTCGAAGAATCTGCAAGAGCTTTTGCGAAAGCGACATAATTGGTAAATCTTTGATCATTTCATCAAACTTTGAAGGAATTTCGAACGTGTGTAGAGGAGAAATCTAGATTCTCACAATTTGTTTTGAGATTGAGTAAATTTAGGTTTTCTTTTGATTGCGTATAAAATCGATAGGAACCAGACGAAATTGAGCCGTATTTCTCTCTGAAATGGTATGAGAAGAGGTCTTATAGACATTAGAGGAGCCAATTCCAGATTCTAATTGGTGTTCGTTTTTGTGGGATTATTGCAATTTGTTTGGTAGGAAAGTAATATATTCGCATAGTTTTATGTCTTCTTAAAATTATTTCTGGGAATTTGTACTTTTATCTGAGATCTAGGTTTGGGTTTGGATCATAACCAGCTCCAGAAATTGAATTTAGTGTTGTTCTGTGTGGTCTCTAATTGAGCTTAGGAGTGAGTTTGTGAAAATTTCGAGAAATTGCGTGGCATAAGACTGAATTTCACTCACTCGTGCTCACGATAGCTATTTGAAATATTGCTCATGTATAATGTGTAAATCTTAGCCATAGTGAGTCATATTTGAAGATTTATGGTTGCTTTCTTATTTTGTTTATTGTACCGCATTCTGATTTTCTTTGTTGGTATAGGGTTCGTTGAAAGTGGGAAATAAGTTTGGACAGGATGTCTATGATCGACGAGCCGCTGTACCCTATCGCTGTGCTTATAGACGAGCTAAAGAACGATGATATACAGCTTAGATTGAATTCCATTAGAAGGCTTTCTACAATTGCACGTGCTCTTGGAGAGGAGAGGACAAGAAAGGAGTTGATCCCTTTTCTTAGTGAAAACAATGACGATGATGATGAGGTGCTACTTGCAATGGCTGAAGAATTGGGAGTGTTTATTCCTTATGTCGGAGGCGTTGAGCATGCACATTTTCTGCTTCCACCCTTGGAAACTCTCTCATCAGTTGAAGAAACTTGTGTGAGGGAGAAAGCTGTAGAGTCGCTTTGCAGAGTTGGTTCTCAGATGAAGGAGAGTGACTTGGTTGATCATTTCATACCATTAGTTAAGGTTAGACTACGAGCACAACCCATGGTTTCATTATATTCATCAATTTGATATTTAATTTTTGATGTTATTCAAGTGCCTTAATTAGACTTGGGAAGGCTACTGTAAATTATTACTTGTGTATGTGATCGTCTATCTTCTTAGGAAACAACGCTACTTGGTTTTTCTTATGCTATAAAACTTTGCATAATGTATCATTGAAGTAAGGAATTACTAAAAAATCCCCACCGTTTTTAACAGCGACTTGCAGCTGGTGAGTGGTTCACAGCCAGAGTATCAGCTTGTGGGGTTTTCCATATTGCATACCCAAGCGCTCCAGATATGTTGAAGACCGAGTTACGATCATTATATAGCCAGCTTTGTCAAGATGATATGCCAATGGTGCGGAGAGCTGCAGCAACTAATCTGGGGAAATTTGCTGCTACAATTGAATCAGCGCATTTGAAGACAGACATTATGTCTATGTTTGATGATCTTACTCAAGATGGTATTTTCTTATCTGACTTTTAGTTAAGACATTATGTCCATGTCTTCACGCTGTCGCTATGCTTGTTAAGCATGTATATGTCGAAGTATCGTCACCTTTTCTTTTGCGGTGGTGGACATAAAAAATGACCAGCAGGAATTAATGCGTTAAACACTGAGAATTAGCTGAAGTTTAAACACAAATATAATTGTCCATACATCACTGTAATTATCTTACATTATTTTCATCTTACGGTTCTTCAATTTCCATCTTGACTTTTATATTAGATCAAGATTCTGTGAGATTATTGGCCGTTGAGGGTTGTGCTGCTCTTGGGAAATTGTTGGAGCCCCAGGACTGTGTCGCCCACATTCTTCCCGTGATTGTTAATTTCTCGCAGGTAATTTACAGAAGCTTTTATTTATGCTGATGATCCTTGGAAAAGCTGCATTTATGAGATGCTTAATCTTTGTACTTTGTTACTGAGCAGGATAAGTCCTGGCGTGTGCGTTATATGGTTGCAAATCAGCTCTATGAGCTTTGTGAAGCAGTGGGACCTGAGCCTACTAGGTAAGAACGTTTCGAATAAACTTAATGCATTTCTATATCAAACTTTAGATTACCTCTTCAAAGGTATGAGAAACTAGTTTGATGTTTATTTATGCCCTTTTCTTCTTCTTGATACTATTTACTATACCTTCTATATCAAGGGCGGATCTGGTGCCTGCATATGTGCGTCTACTTCGTGATAATGAGGCTGAAGTACGCATAGCAGCTGCTGGAAAAGTTACGAAGTTTTGTCGGATTCTAAACCCTGAACTTGCTATCCAGCACATTCTCCCCTGTGTAAAGGTAAATACTTGATAAAAAAATCCCACAGGTACCAAGTTACTTTCAAAGAATCAATGTATTGTAGCTGTTGCGTATTACTGATAGTTCCTTTGAATTCTACCTGTAGGAGCTATCATCGGACTCTTCTCAGCATGTCAGATCTGCATTGGCTTCAGTTATAATGGGTATGGCACCAGTCTTGGGTAAGGTAAGAAAGTTTACAAATATAGATATATTGGTTCTACAGTGATGGTGTTTATAATGGTCAAATCAATTTGAGCATCTTAATGATTATGACTCTGTCCAACCCTTATTCGTCCTGTTGTTTGAAGTCATGTGTATATCTTCATGTTCACTTTCATCTTTAAGAATAAATAAAATTTGGTTGTTTATGCCTGGAAAGTACCCGTCACTGTGATTAACTGTGCACTGCAATTTTTTTAATACAAGATATTTCTATTGGATTGTGTATGTAGCAGATTTTAATTTTACAGTGATAATTTTTTTTTTAATTGCAGGATGCAACAATTGAGCATCTCCTTCCAATCTTTCTTTCTCTATTGAAAGATGAGTTTCCCGATGTACGCTTGAACATAATCAGCAAACTCGATCAAGTGAATCAGGTTAGTCATGACCAAGTTACCCAAATGTTTTCATGCCAATGGTTTCACAGATATCATATTATTCTTTTAGGCAACATTTTTGGTCATCTGTTTTCAGTTGATATTTTATATTTTTGGCAGGTTATTGGGATTGATCTACTATCACAATCCTTGTTGCCCGCTATTGTAGAACTCGCTGAAGATCGACACTGGAGAGTAAGACTTGCGATAATTGAGTATATCCCCTTGTTGGCTAGTCAGTTAGGTGTTGGCTTCTTTGACGATAAGCTTGGTGCTCTTTGCATGCAATGGTTACAAGACAAGGTTTTGCTTTCCCCCTCTACCTTTATTTGGAAAGTATTCGGATTAGACAACAAATCCGATTTAAATATTTTTGCGGATGCTTTCATTAGGTTCACTCAATCCGTGATGCTGCTGCAAACAATCTCAAGCGTCTTGCTGAGGAATTTGGTCCTGAATGGGCAATGCAACATATAGTTCCTCAGGTTTGTCTCGAATCATTGCAACGCCAAAAGAAAAAATCAGGATAATTATTTATCAGATCCAATCAAAATCGATTTTGATTACTCTGTAGGTGCTTGAGATGGTTAACAACCCTCACTATCTATACCGTATGACCATTTTGCGTGCGGTTTCTCTTCTTGCACCAGTAATGGGCTCAGAGATCACATGCTCTAAGCTCTTGCCTGTAGTAATGACTGCATCTAAAGACAGGCAAGTTATCACCGTAAAATAGTTTTAAGACTTGAATCATTTTTAGTTCAAATATCTTTACGTATATAAACAAGTTTTCCACTACTTTCAGAGTTCCAAACATCAAATTCAACGTAGCGAAAGTGCTTCAATCCCTCATTCCAATAGTCGATCAATCGGTAAGTTTACATCAATCGTAAAATCCGTTTAGGTTTGCTCAAAAATCCTTGGTTCCGATTTTGATATTTTTGGGGTTTGTGGTGGAAATAAAAGGTTGTAGAGAAGACGATCCGTCCTGGACTTGTGGAGCTAAGCGAGGATCCAGATGTTGATGTCAGGTTTTTCGCAAACCAAGCTCTTCAATCTATTGACAATGTGATGATGTCTAGCTAA